TAAAATGTTTTCATTTTTTATTAAAGTCTGATCTGAAATTATAAACTCTGTACTACTTTCTGAAGTATGACTAACTTTTTTGATCTTTTTCTTTGTACTTCATGCTTATCTTTTGTACTTTGTAAGTGTTCATCCCCTGATCCTTGTTTGTCTTCAGTAACAATGGTATTTTCAGTACACTTTCTTTTTAATTTATCTTCAGGGTCATTTTTTATATTTTTTAGTCTTTCGTGAATTTTGGAAGCTAAAGCCCCATCAACATCAAATACATTTGAACTACTGGACTCCGATTCAACTGATGAGCAAAGGCTTGACAGATCTTCACTCAAAAGCAAAGATCTATTACTTTCTTCAAGAGCATCAGATGATTCCTCTTTTTCACTATTGTTATCAGAAATTAAATCATCAATACCTATTAATTCACTACTGTCTTTATTTACTGAAATCCCTTCCACAAAAGAAATTTTAGAAGATGAATCGACGCCTTCTTCGGTTAAATTAGACACTGAATCAAGATCACTACTGTCTAACGTAGCTTTAGTAGTTCCATTATCCGAACTAGTGAGATCTAAATCGGAAAAGCTGCTAACCGAAGCAGAATCAAAATCGTCTATAACGTTTTCTGATTTCCTTATGAGTTCGTTATCACTTTTCTTATATCCATACAACATTTGCTTAAGTTGTTTCTTTACTCTATTTTCTGTTTTGGTCTCTTTTTTGGAAACGTATTTATTTTTTAAGACATGCGCGTTTTCAAAAAACTCCATCTTAATTTTTTTTAATGGAAATTGATATTTCAAAGTGTAGAAAGTGTAACGAATAAATTTACATTAAATCGTCATAAACCGATGTTTATTTTTTAAGTAATATTCAAATCATATTTACTTTTAAAACGAATAGCAAGCACCGCATCGAGCTATTTGTTGATAATTGACATAATTGTAGGAGTATTCTGTGATAATTGATATGTCAATGTCAAATGTCAATAATCAAATTTTTCACAGACCTATGTACTATGCCCACTTGATATCAATTGAAAAAATATCGATATATCGATAAAAGAGAATGTAATTACTACTTTTAATATCGATATTGTTTATTCAACATATCGATATTTTCTGGCGATTTCCTTTATTTCGATATATGGATATATCAATACAAAATTTTACAAGCATCATCGTTATCGGCTACTGACGAAACCCTCCAGGGGTTTCATTCAAACCATGGAGTTTAAAGGTAAGGAGAACCATAACACTGTAGTGTTATGCTAATTTCATATCATTTACACTATTTTAAATTTATTTTTCCATTCTGTTTTTGATTTTCTGCATTCACCTCAAAACTGGATATTTTGCATCACCTTTATTTCCATAGGATCCTGTAACGTTTTTTAAACCATAAGAACATAATAACAAATCATTTTCACTTCGTATTTTCACGCTATCAGCACTTTTTAAATTGGTGTCAATGGAGTCTACCTTTTTCGATCTTTTATTTAGTTCTCCGTAACTCTGCAATTTCGGGCTTCGTGCGCGCTATTGCGCTACCTTTTTCCTATATCAATAATATCTCATTTTTCACTTAAATCTTGCCGTTTCTCTATTACGAGCCTGAAACCAAAATTTGACATGTTTTGACATCGTTGTTTATCTGGTTGTCATGACAATTTTTATTCAAATTCGTTACCGGTCTGATGTTTTTACTTCAATACTTCCACAAAAATACTCTTTTACTCTTGGCCATTTACAAAAATTTGCTTTTAATTTAAATAATTCCCGTTCTTATCACAAATCCGTCGTCGAGCGCGGAGCTCTCTAAAAAAGTATAAAAGCCGAACAATCGGCCAATAAAGGCAGTAATTAGCCCTGTGACAAGATGAAGCTGTAAGAATCGTATAGCCTAACAGCATTAACATCAAGATAATAGAGAGAGAATAAAGGCAGTCTCGCTTCAGCTTTCATACTAGAAGCATCTCCTAAAGGCCTTATCCCGGGGCCGCAGTGCCCCGGGAACCTGCAAGCCTCTGCCTTCATCTGAAGTCATCGTCTAGCCACGCCTACGCCTCCACCTACTAGAGCCCGCGCTATCTTTAGCCGCTGTGCGTGCTTGCTTCAAGCGCTGCGTGCGCCTACTCCGGGCGCTGCGTGTGCCTACTCCGGGCGCTGTGTGTGCCTACTCCGGGCGCTGTGTGTGCCTACTCCGGGCGCTGTGTGTGCCTACTTCAAGCGCCGCGTGTACCTGCTCCAGACGCTGCGTGTACCTACTCCGGGCGCTGTGTGTGCCTAGTCCGGGCGCTGTGTGTGCCTACTTCAAGCGCTGCGTGTGCCTACTCCAGACGCTGCGTGTGCCTAGATCAGGCGCTGCGCACCTACCACAGGCATAGCCTGTGCATACTCCGTGAGCGGTGAGCACCATTGCCAAGCGTGGTGTGCCACCTTGGTCTTCGGGCTCCGTTTCAGTACTCATTTATCTTTGTTATTTTTAAAAAAAAGTCACCCATCATCATCTTCATATTTTTTTTATATAAAACTGTAAATATCTCTTAAAATTTTAAATAAATCATTCGTTTTTATTCTATTTTTGTTGTTTCGTTGTTGTTAGGTTAGGTTCTTTTGTTTTTAATTGTCGCTTTACGACAACACATAGGAGAATACTTGAAAAAATGTCCATCTGTAAGCTATAAATAACAGTTCAAAAACTTCCTAAAACAGCACTGGAGTAGCTAGAGGGTGTGAAATGAACTTAGCAATTGTCGAAAAAGTGAAGTGTGCTGAGTTGAGGAATTTAATATTTGTGGTGATGGTGACTAGAGTAGTTGATGAAGCTGAAGCATTCAAAACCTCAACTACTCACGTTGTCTAAAATAATTTAGTAAATATAACCTAGAAAAGTCGCCGTGAAACACATTGAGAGTGATTTTGAAAATAAAAATTTTGGAAACAATAAAATAACTATTATAAAAATAATTATGGCGAGTCTGTGCAATAAAAAGTTATAAAAAGTTCTTTAAAATTTACCCTCTAACTACAGTTGCGCCATCCTTATTTAACGCATTCCTACGGATACTTTTTAATTCAGAGGCGGTTTTCCACAAATAGTTTAAAATTTAAAATTATGTACTGACAGCCGCCATTCTACTAGAGTCTATTCAGAAATAGCGCTAAAGTATTTGATACCTATTGCATCCTCAGTTTCATTAGAGAGAGTTGTTAAACTTAGCGTACCCAATAACAGAAGCCGACTTTTAACAGAACACATGAAACAAAGATTTTTTCGAAGTGGAAACTTCTTTAGAATCGTTGTGATATGAAAACTCAATAAAACGAAAAACCACGATTTCATAATTTTATTCGTCTATTGTACGTACCACCTAGAGAGTCAATTAAATTTTGTTTGATAACAAGTGGTAAACTTAAAAAAATTGTACAACCGGCTTCAATCCGACTGAATCAATGTACTCGAAAACAATTAAATACGCATTATTTAAAGATAACTCAAAAACTACTAGTCAGATCTTTATCAAATTTATATTGGACTACACGAGAAACACCAGCTTTCAAATAAAAAAGAATAATTAAAATCGGGTAACCCAGAAAAAGTTATGATGTAACACACTTAAAAAAATACAGTCGAATTGAATACCTCTTCTTTTGTGAAGTCGGTAAAAAGACTTTACCTATATACTGAAGAAAATGGCACCATTACAAACCAATTTTACTCAAAAGAAAATATTCTTTTGGTTTTTAACATTAAAATTTAGTCTAAAAATAAGTATTCTAACATTTAGTTGCTATAATATCAAAATTTTATCTTATATTTTATGCCGCACTTGTAGTTGAAAATGATCATATTAAATATATAATTTGCCATGAAATATTTTTATTGTATATTTCATTTCATTTGATGGTTTCACTTCTACCACGTGTGAACGGCTCACATGTTTTTTGTTGTTGTCATTTGAAAGTCTATGAAACGAAAAAGCGACAGTAAAAAGAGAAGGACATATAAATTTATAAGATTTAGCGTGGGAGAAAATTAAATAGGAAGTGTTATAGCCCAATGCTCGCATGAAAAAAGTCAAATCTTGTTTGTTCAACAAGGTACGAAGGAGTCGTGTGCCTATGGAATAAACAAGCAGTGAAGAATGGCCAAACCTCAATTTCGTAGTAGGTAAAATTGATATAAATCTTTTTGTAATTAGTGAGTAGTATATAAGGTATATCGAAAAAAATATAAACATTGGAAGGGAAATTAATTTATGCGTCGTAAAAATTAGTGGCTGTCCCGTACATTTAAAAGTACGTTAACAATATCAAAGACTTCTTTAGATATTTTAAACATGGTCGGATTAAAATATGTCGTTTAAGTAAAATAAGTAATAAAATATATGAGTCCAATACTAAGTAATACTAATTTGAATAAAAAAAGAAAATCAAAACCGGTATTAGGTAGTTTCGTGCGTTTCCCATCTGTATGGTTCACTTTCCATAATCTATGATTTTCATATAGAAATGGCCATCTAGCGTCTATTTTACGCAGCACCACCTTGAATGTCAATCAGTTGTTCGATAAAGTGACTACCTATAGAATAAAGTAGGTGGCGCTATTATAATTTTACTTGAAAGATTATATAATATGATTAAAACTACTTTTACGGATTTTATCGCGTTTATTTTCACTTTTTATTTACTTTTATTTTTAATTCCTGACGTTTCGGGCGCTTTCCAGCACCCATTGTCACGGGAGACTGAGATGACTGACTTCCCGATGTCATTGTTAAACCCGGAGTACCTTCAGCTTTTTTAATTATTGTTTATGGGCCGATATAGATTATATAATATCTATTTGTCTAGTATATATATATATATATATATATATATATATATATATATATATATATATAATAAAAAGCCTTCGATTGTGTTCACCATGAAACATTCATCAGAAAACTTCAACACTTCGATGTAAGAAGCGATGCTCTTAAATTAATTATTTCATATTTAAGTGACAGAACACAAAAAGTTGTCATTAAGAGTGTTACAAGCTTGAGGTTCGTTACAATAAAAATTGCCGATAGAATTACCAAAATTAACTCTTTAATTCACATTACACTAATTAAAACTTAGAAGACACTAATAATTAAATAAAAAGCCCATAGTAGTCGAATTGTCATCCTACATACAGAAGACGAATATATTGCACGCTGCAAAAATATATAATTTTCAAAATAAAAAAAAAATACTCAATTCGCAGTATTTGGGATTAAAAGGCAACAACACTCCAATTTTTGTGTCGGACCATTTGACACAAAAAGGAAATAGACTGTACTACTTGGCTAGAGAATTAACCAGAACTCAGAAATATAAGTTTTGCTGGATATCGTTCGGTAACGTTTTTGTGAGGAAGGATGAGAGCTCACCGATCATAAAAATAGAGAACGAATGTCAAATCAAAAACACGTATATTAACAAATGACTATTTTTATTTATAGCTCAGACATGTTCTTGGTTTGATATTATTATTGTTTACCTCCTTTTCTACTTTTATTGTATATTTTGCATTGTTTACATTTTTCATATTATATATAAGTATATGTACATATCACGAACACTACTAGTTACACAAGCTCGCACATCAAACATCACATTCATAAACATAAAAATTAATCACCGCACTCTTTTACATACATATCTTATACCAAAAATTTGCTATTCTTTTATCGAAAATTAATAATAAAAGTTAATAATTTAAGTTCACTCCTGATCGA